ACCCTCCTAAATTGTGAAATATGTGTCTCTTCTCTTCAGGGTCTGTGATTGCAGCTAGATAACCTTTGAACTCTTGTGGTAATTTGTTGCTCTTGTCACCAATGACTAAGACTAATTTCAGAGTCAATTCTAAGAAAATTTTCATTATTCAATAACTTGTATATCATGTCATATCTCACTTAAAAGTAAATTAAACATAACAAATTGACAATACTTGTAAATACTTAAATTTTCACCAAGTGGCTAAACAAACTAATAGGTTACTTTCATGACCTCTAAAGGTCACACATCCTGGTACTTTCGTTGATATATCAATAATAATAAAAATAATTAACTACAAATTAAAGTGCCCAAGTTGTGTACATTTGGGATGCTGTTGTACCAACAAAAGTACCAGCATGTGTGACCTTTCGGGGTCAAGAAAGTGGCATATCAATTTAAAAACTTTGTTGTAATAATTTACCCCAAGCGGAAGCCCAATCATGTATATTAAGTGAGTTTTAAGTTAAGTGTTCATTTGGCCATATTGCAAGTGTGCAAAGTTATATTCTTTGACTTGTGCCTGTTTAGATCAGCGTTTTGCTGGATTAAACAGACATACACACTGACCAATCGTAGCCATAGAGTGAAATGAGGTTCATAGTTCTGATAAGTTTTTAAATAAACTATTCAGTCTCCAAATCCTCGAACATTTATATTAAACTTTTACTCTTTAATGGCCAGGGTCTTCAAGCAAATAGGTCAACAGGACCTGCACCACATGGCACTGCAACCTTTATTGCAGTTTGTGCAAACCAGTTGCTCTAAGTTGTTAGTCAACTGTCGACTAGTTCTGGAGCAGAGAGTGGGTCTAATGGCAATTGACCAATCGCAAAGCGCATATTATGTTCGCTTTGCGTTTCTGCATATGGAGATGATCTCGCACATTTCTGTTATAGCTTGTGCAATGATACCTTTCCAAGTGTTGATTGTGTTTTAATTCACTGGTTAGAAATGTGTTGGAGCGACACAAGATCTTCATCACTACACTTCACTGTGCATGGATATCCTAGTTGCATTTTCCTCGTATTCCTATTTTATAAATCCTTCATGACAAGCATGGTCACCAACATGTGCATATCCAACTTTGTAACCAGTACATGTACATGTACATCATTTCTCAAATCTCAGTACTTCAAATCAGAGTTACCAAGTTTGAAGGACTATTTTGTGATTGTAAAACCTCTAGATTGAATCAAACTGAGTTGAAAACTTACTGGAACAGAAATTTCATGGGATGTTAAATCTCTTAAAAAGACTCTTGCTATGTTCTCTCAACCGATCAATAACTGGTGCTTTACTTGAGTTGGTATGCTCACCCTATTTGGCTGTACACAATATCTTTAGTTCAAAGGATATCTATTATTCCAGCATAATATTTAATAAATTGTATATTGTTGATTTTAGGGCAAATATGTAAAGAAGTACGAAGAAGACATGAAATCATTTGAAGTAGAGATGCAGACATTCAGGTGAGTTTAATTAATTGTTAATTGACTCCCGTGTGCTATTAAGCACACAATGGGAGTCTTTGCAGTTACCCTGCCTGCCTGTATGTGTGTGTATGTGTGTGTGTGTGTGTCTGTCTGTCCCACTGATATCTCAAGAATCGTATGTTGGTTTTTAATGAAATTTGGTGCATAAATGCTGTGTGCTAATGCACAGATTTGATTAGGTTTGGGTTGAAATCCATGCATATTAATTACCTGATTTGCATGATAGTTAGCTAATTTTTAGCTGTTCCTTGACTGTTCTACTGATATCTAAAGAGCCATTCATTAGATGTTGATGAAACTTGATACATAGATGCTCTGGACTAATGCACAGATGTGATTAGTTTTGGGTAAAAATCAATGCATATAATTAACCTAATTTGCATAATGCTTTTCCACTGATATCTCGGATACTAATCATCAAATTTCAATGAAACTTACATAGGACATGCAAAGACAGATATGTAAAATATTAATTACCTAATTAGCCAATTTTCAACTTTAACTCTGATATCACTGTACTAATTATTCCATTTCAATGAATTTTGGTACATTGATGCTCCAGAACAATGCACAGACCCGCTCAGTTTTGGGTTAAAATCGGGAAGAAAAATGAAGTGGTAACTGAACAAGCTGGTAGGCTGGTTGTCGATCCGTTCCGCTCAAAAAACAAGCAACATGTTTTCGGCTGTTTCCATGGTAGGACATGGACGTGAAGCTAACGTCAGTTCATAACTAAATGGAGCCCTGTATACGAAGTTTGCAAAAAAAAATTCAGTCTTTTAGAAGTCACTTTCCTCATTACTAGGACATATTCTGCTGTTACATTTATTATTTCCAGCCGTTTTGGCGATAGTATTTTCCAGAATGAAGGCAGCATTTACAGTTCATTCAAAGTTGCATTGGGATTATGTCGATACGATGTAACAATGTAGGCGCCGGTGATCTCTTACTAGTGCGCAACGTAGCCAAAATAAAAAGCATGATTATTTAAACACTGCTATTACAAGACTGGTAGGAGGTAATAAATTTGGGGTCAATTTTCTCGCTAATGAAAATATACAGTAAATGTTTGCCCACACTCAAGCTGAGTAGAATGAGCTGTATGTCCGTGCATTTTAATCCTAGAATTGTAGGGCGAGATAGAATTGGCGTGAAGGTATTCAAAAAATAAGTTTTTTGGCTGTTGCCATGGATACGATGGGCCAAAATTTGTTTTCAGATTTTACAACCTAACTAGAGTGAAGTTTCGGACCCCGGCTACTTTACTTTCAGCTGAAAATTAAAATTCTCATTCTCATCCCTGATAATAATTCATTTGGTTTATTGAGGTACTCAGACATGATTAGTTTAATGTTGATAAAACATGCATATTGATCATTTATTAGCCCATTTCTGATATCTAAAAAAATCGGATTTAAATTGAATCCATCGTAGAGGTGTTCTGGAACTACTTAGACTAAAACCATTGATGAAAAATCAAATGCATTTTCTGTATGTATTATAAATTTTGATAATGTAAATCACATTTTTTTCATGTTATACATCTCAAATAGCAGACAAAAATTAGTTTTGAATTAATTTTAATGCGTCTCCAATACTCTCAGCACACAGGAGTTCTTTGTAAGCTTTCTTTAATTAATTAATGATTGAGATTGGTTGTCATGAATTCACAGTACAACCCAAATCTCGGGGCTCTCCTGAAACTCGTACAGCCGCCTCCTCTCAGTGTTCCCCCTCAGCTTGATAACTGATATGGCCCCATCTTCTTGGTGAACTTGGTAACAGGTACAGCATCCCCTGTGTTCTGCCTAAACAAGGTATTAGGCAAAGTAACTAGCGTATGGGCACAGTTCACCTGTGTTAGCCTAATCGGTGTATAGACACGGTGTGTTGAACACATTGCAGAGTCATCTTTCTAAACATGATATGTATGTGCCCTAATGTGTACTACTGAGCAGGGTACTGTAAAATGACTAATTTTCACTGGGTTTAAATTTCACTGATTTACCATTTCAGGCATATTCAGTGGGTTTTAAATTCACGGTTTCGTCATTTAGATAATGTGTTCTATGCTAAATTTTACATATTCGCTGGGTTTTAATTTAGCGCCTTTTCCAGTCAGCGAAATAAGCTAAATTAAAACCCAGTGAATAATTATCCCTTTTACAGTATTCAGTATTAGACTTTGTGTGATGAAAACAAAAATAATTTTATGAAAATACATTTATGTTTGAGAGACTAGAATGTATGCGTTTTACCGTTCTCATGTAACACATCTTCAATATATATTGCAGGGACAACCATCCAGATTTTGTAGCAGCCACAGCACCACGTGCTAAAAAAGCTGTAGCACCAGTAAAGAAATCCATGACACCCTACCAGATTTTCCAGAATAAACGAGTTGAGAGTGCAATCAATTCAAATCCAAAGGTAGGAATTATTTTCTGCTTCCATTCTTGAGTAAAACTGAATCTTTGTCTTCTTAAAAATTGGTTTTCATTATTTTCTATTTATATTTACTTACTTTTATTTGCTGCAAAAACGTTGATTATTTGTCAATACACAAGAGGGAAGGGTACTCTCCTACAACTTGAGTACTCAACCTTGAAAATAGGGATTGTATTTGACACTCTCAGCATGTTTTGAATATGAAATAACTACCCTATATTGTATCCTTAACGACGATCATAATTGATTTGGGGAATAACTCTAACCTTGCTTCTATCCTCCAATGCTTCCCAATTTAATTGTATTCAGTAAAATCGTTTATTTTCAGCTATTTTGTGGATTGTACTTGACAGCAAAAATAGCGAAATTAAAACCCAGTGAATAATTAATGCATTTACAGTATTCCCTCCTAAGGATGCTTATAGTTATCTAGAGAGGGGACATGTACAATTAATTTTTTTTATTTTGGGACGAGATGATGCAACGTTAAAAGTGCATTTCCTACAGTGGGTCCACATTTTTTAAAAATAGTATGTGTGCCGAAGTCGATTATTGTCACCTCTCACAAGGTAAATCTGCATATATTTTTTCGTAATAATAATTTTGGTAATTGCATTTTTAGATGAGTAAAAAAGAGATTGAAGATCTGTTAAAGGGACAATGGAAAAGCATGACTGACAAGAAAAAAATGGTCTTCATCAGAGGTGCAATCGAGGAATTTAAACAATATGAGGTATGGTAACGGCATTTTACAAGTGTTGCAAAGTGTTTATTTGGCTGTAGTGCTACTGTTCACAGGGTTTATACAGCATGTGTTCATGGTGTTACAACTGTTCATATATTTGTATTGTGAGCGTTCGGTTTGCAATATGACAACATAGTTCAGAGTATTAATGTAGCTGTATCCACAATGTGTAACATTTTCATTTTTGCTGTTTTTCAAGTGTTTATGGTGTTCATGTAGTGTGATCATAGTGTTTCATATCAATGCAATGCAAGTGTAAGGTGTTCATTTGGTTATATTGCAAGTGTGCAAAGTTATATTCTTTGATTTGTGCCTGTTTAGATCAGTGTTTTGCTGGATTAGACAGACATACACACTGACCAATCGTAGCCATAGAGTGAAATGAGGTTCATAGTTCTGATAAGTTTCATAATAAACTCTTCAGTCTCCAAATCCTCGAACAAGTGTGTTTTGACTGATTGCATTGTCATGTGTCTCCCGGAATAGTTTATTTTCATGGAGGCAGTCCAATGAAAGAGAATGTATGACAATCTCCCATATTCACACGATTTTAATTTGCTTTTCTACCCGGATATGAATTGTCATCCAAGTTTAACATTGAGATTTGATAACATTGTGTGTATTTTGTATCATTTCAGAAAGCTGTTGTGGAATACCAGAGGACTCATCCTGATTATGAACCAAAAGTTTTTAAATCAATATTAACAAAAGCAGAACAGAAAATTAAAGACAAATCAGACGGAAAACCTGACAGACCTCCACCGTAAGTTTTGCTAGTTTCCTGTATCTGTGTTTCAAGTGGTTGTGTGACTGTTAGTAGATTGTAGGTACTTGCAGTGTTCAACTAGTTCTGTCACTGTTGCATAGCACTGATGGAGAAATTTATTCATGATGAACTTTTACTTTATCTTATCTCCTCTTGAATCTTAACTGTTTTCAAGAAAATAATGTGTATGTAAGCATTATAAATTTGATGAACAATCAGTTTTGTGATATTCACAGATGTAAATTGCCGACAAATGGACAAGTTTTGATTTTTTAACGGTGAAATGGCAGGTTTACTGAATCTCTTGACAGAGAGGTTGCGTGTATGCTGACAAGGGACATTATCATCTCGTTCATTTTAGGTCCATTATAACAGTAATCTGACTGGTGGTTTGAGACCAACATCACATAATTTCATCAAAGTATTAAAGTGGGGGAGCCATCACCTGTGCATGCGTAAGATGGCCATAGCGTGTCATTGTTTACAAACAAACGTCTACGCATGAGCCTTTGCGTTTTAGCGTGTGTTATCATCGATTAAGACTTAATTTCTGCACAGGTGACACCCTCCTGCTTTAATATACAAGATGCTGATGATTACTTTATTCTTTGACTTCTAGGAATGGATATAGTTTGTTTTGTAGTATACTTATGAATGAACATTTGTCACATATACCCAGTAATGAAAGGATGGTAGAATGCAGTAAGCGATGGAAGACATTATCACAACAAGAAAAAGATCTTTATCAAGAAAGATCCAATGCTGTAAGTTTAAGATTATTTATTCAGTTCTACTCTTAATTGATTCAGCCCAATTTTTGACTCAATGAGTGTATAATAATATTGTCTGATTGGCTACCCAACCCTAACACCGAACTATCAGACCAATCAGAGAACTGCATGTTTTTTCGACACATCAAATTTTGAATTTGATATTTCAGTTTCATCTGATGCGTTGATCAGTGTGCGAAGTTTTAATTTCATTTTATTGAAAATGTGTATGGTGTTAATACATATTTATTGCAAATGTGCAACATATTCATTTGGCTGTTTTTCTACTGTTTGTGTTCATGCAGTGGGATCATAGCTTTGTTGCCTTTAACCAGGCTGTATTGCTACAGTGTACTGTGTGCATAGTTTTTATTTGACTTTGATTACAACTGTTCAAATAGATGTATTTATTTATTTAACACTTTATTTAAAGAGGGTAAGCCGAAATACAATAACGAAATTTTCATTGGGCCCTCTGTAGAAACACAATATACACACTTATAGGTTTGAGCCATTTACAACAAATTTTTACACTAAGATATATTTTGTAAGTTTTCTTAAAAAATGACTAATGAGGCTGAATTTCTAATATGGGGTGGTAAGTTATTCCATAGGATTACCCCTCTATACCGAAATGTCCTCTGGCCCATGAATGTTTTCCATTTAGAAATGCATAAATTATGTTAAAAGAGGAACGTGTACTATGCTTGTAGGTTTGGGAGATAGGACTGAACATTTCGCTTATATATAAGGGCGCCATGCCGTTGGTTGCATTGTAAGTGTTCAGTTTGCAATATGACAACGTAGGTTCTGAGTATTAATGTGGCTGTGTCTACAGTGTGCACCATTTTTAGTCCCCGTTCGGACGAAGTCCGAAAACGGGGACTTATAATTCGGTCTCCGTCCGTCCGCGCGTCTGTGTGTCCGTGCGTCCGTCCGGAGTCATATCTCAGAATCCCTTGGACCGATTCCGTTCATTCTTTGCATGTGCCTAGTACTTTATGTGGGACATATGCACATGCAGTGGTTTAGCGATTCGATTTAAAATGGCCGACTGGCAGCCATCTTGTTTTTTGAAAATGTTGTATTTTGGACATGCTTTGCCAGTTTTCATTCAAACTTGGTACATAGATTATACATGTTAGGATACATGTCCATGATGATTTATTTCACAATTGGATCAAAGATGGCCGACTGGCAGCCATCTTGTTTTTTGAAAATGTCGTATTTTGGACATGCTTTGTCAGTTTTCATTCAAATTTAGTACATAGATCATACATGTTAGGATACATGTCCCCGACCGTCTGTGAGTTCCTGAGTCCGACCGTCCGTGTGTGTGTCTGTCTGTCTGTGCGTCAGTCTATCCAACGTCATATTGCAGAATCCTGTGGACCGATTCCGTTCATTCTTTGCATGTGCCTAGTACCTTTTGTGGGACATATGCACATGCAGTGGTTTAGCGATTCCATTCAAAATGTCCGACTGGCAGCCATCTTGTTTTTTGAAAATGTTGTATTTTGGACATGCTTTGTCAGTTGTCATTCAAACTTGGTACATAGATTATACATGTTAGGATACATGTCCATGACGATTTATTTCGCAATTGGATCAAAGATGGTCGACTGGCAGACATCTTGTTTTTGTTTTTTTATGCGGTATCTTGGACGTGCTCTGTCAGTTTTCATTCAAATTTGGCACATACATGTACTTTATACATGTTAGGATGCATGTCCATGACAATTTGTTTCAAAATCTGGTCAAGGATGCCGATTGACAGCCATCTGACTTTTTGGCCTTACTACTATATTTCCATAATTTATGTATCATTTTCGTTCGTATTTGGCACATACATCATACATATCAGTGTGTTTCATAATCAGATCAAAGATGGCTGAATAACGGCTGTTTTTATTTTGGCTATACCGGTATTACTATGACACGAAACAAGTGTTTTGATGTAAATAAACAATCTGTTGTATACGCCACTGGGAACTCAAGTTTCAAGGACACGCTCGCGACAACCCCTCCGCTTTAATATGACGAGCACAAAGAGAACTTAACGGGGACTGTGTCATTTTCAATGACTTGTTATTTGGTGGTTTTTCAAGTGTTTATGGTGTTCATGTAGTGTGATCATAGTGTTCATATCAATGGAATGCAAGTGTAAAGTGTTCATTTGGTTATATTGCAAGTGTGCAAAGTTATATTCTTTGATTTGTGCCTGTTTAGATCAGCGTTTTGCTGGATTAGACAGACATACACACTGACCAATCGTAGCCATAGAGTGAAATGAGGTTCATAGTTCTGATAAGTTTCATAATAAACTCTTCAGTCTCCAAATCCTCAAATATCAATTCATATTCTCGGTAGCAAACATCCAGGCATTTTCTCTGCCTTGAAACCATCACCAGTAAAAACAGTAGTCGAAACCCCTACATATCTAACAAATTCAGAGGACGCTTCAGAAAGTTAGATTGCATGGATAGAAATGAGCAAGATTTATTGTCGCATTCTAAAACGCAAAACATGTGGAACTTTCAAAAATAATCTGAAATTAACACTAATCAGGTTTTTCTTGTAGATACTTAAAAATCTAGAAATATAGATTAGTCTTGCGATTTTGAGATCTCTTATTTTGTCACTTATCACATGCATGTAAACCCTAATCAGTTCCTGCCAGTATGTATTGATTCAAAGAGTATTATCCGCAATAATTCAGGTGGTTTATGTATCAATATCATTTGCAATCTGCATGTATTAATTTGGATTATAATGAGCAATATTTACTCAATATATCTCTTGACCCCATACATGTATGTATTTACTTTAGTCTAAGCTAAATCAGTTGTGTCAATACACTCTGATATTTATGAAATAATTTTCGCAATGTTTGTTGAAGAACAGCTTGCTTTAATACCAGGAATAATTGCATTATTTTCATAAAATAATGTTTGGAATGCAATATATAGTTGCGTATATGTGTGAATCAACTGCTAGAACAAAATTATGTTTTTCGAAATTTAGAATTTTGTCGACTTTGTCGAGGGAAGCTCATCATATGAGTGATTGTCCGTCTCCGTCGTTGTTGTTCGTGTCAATGTTTTACTTTTTCGACTTCTTTTTGAAAACTATAAGCCTGAATGCTTTGATACTTGGTGTATATGTACCTTGGGTAGATTTGTTCATTTCATGATGATATCTTCAATTCTCTAATTTTGGTGAATATTTTTGTCATTTTTGATAAAAAGTGATATTGTCGACTTCTTGTAAAAAACGCAAATCCGATTGCTTTGATATTACATATATAGGTATTACATGTGGACCTCTTTCAGATTTCGTGGTGATATCTTCAATTAGCTAATTTTGATGATTATTTTTGTCATTTTTGGTGAAAAGTGATATTTTTGAATTCCACGTATTGTTCATTTTCTAATGATATCTTCTGTTCTTTAAATGAAATGTGCATTGCTAACAGTGGAGTTATCTCAGCCGACAGGCTGCTTGTTTTAAATTGAATGTTCTTTATAAAGTGAATGTTTTAGCTGTGAATAATTCTCATAGTAAATGCTTCTCATGAACGTTTTTTGGTGTGAATGTTTCTAATTTGCTGTCTCTCCTATTTTGTAATTTGAGAAATAAAAAAATATTGTTAACGTCTTGAAGAAAGTGATGAAATTGCGATGTAGCAATGCTACTTTCTCGGGGCTCGGTGGTGTCCTTGCGACGAGAGATACTCTGGTGGTGCCTTTAATTGGATTCTTGATATAATATACATATGGAAATATATACTGCTAATCAATCATTGTACTACAACAACCGAATTGACAACGTTTGACATTTATGCGTATGGTATTTGCTTTCATGCTCGCATTTTAAGTAAAAATGTTTTGATGGGATTTTAAATATAATAATAATTTTTTGATGCAATCTTTTTATCCAGGCTTGATAATAAAGTTAAATATAAAGTTATTTAATTGTAAAATTTTAATTCGCTTTATCACTAATTATCCATCAAAACAAAAACAAAAAACAGCTTTTATATTTAAAATCATTTGGTGAATTGTCGCTGGAGATGGTCACTAAATTAACAGAGGTCAAGACTTAGACTCAGAACAATTTAAATGCAACTTGAGGAAATATGTTGTCTTGTTATAGGTATTTTTCATAATTCATAGCTATATCTAGTGTTTGTTGTTGAATTGTATGTACTATTTCGTATAATTTTTGCTGTAAGTGATTTGTATGTTACAGGGTCTAACCGGAAAGCAACAAAGGACAATTCTCACAACAAAATAGACAAAATTCCCAGTATTATGAACATAAAAATTAATCAAATATGCTTAACAGAACAAAGATACAATAAACAAATACATGTTACTATACAAATACAAACTTATGCTTCAAAATAATCAAATATATTAAATTTATTTATCTGTGCCATTTTTTTTGTTATCAACAAATCAATAAAAAAAATTTTTTTTCCCGTTTACCGGTACATATAGCTGTTAATTTTGCAGTGAATTTGATATTTTCTATACATTTTGATCTTCATTCGGAGATGTTTAGAAAACATTGGTGGTAATTTACAGTTAGCAGTTGAAAATGACGGTAAAAAAAGATACACTGATACCAGAAAGTAATTCTGATTTTCCATTACATTGCAATATAACTGGAAAGTCTTGTTACTTGTAGAATGCAATCACAGTATCAATCCACATTAGTTCCTAATTGACATTTAATGTGAAGTTAAATATTACAGGTTATTGGTGACATAGTAACTATGGCAACCATCAACATGAATCCAAAACGTCATTTTTGTCATGCTGGATGTTTGCGTATCTATAGCAATAAATGTGATAATATATGCTTCATTAATAATAATTAATATATTAGTTGACGAGCGCGTGACATTTATTTTGTTTGAGAAATTTCCACTTTGCTATTTTGCTGTACATTATTAAGCGTGTAATTAGATTTGAAAAGAACAGTTCTTAATGGTGGGCTGCTATTTAAAAGCCATGGAATGTAAATATTACTTAAAAGAAGACTTTTAATGTAGCTTTTGAGTTATTTGTTTAATCACATTGTAACGGATACGCTAGACTTTAGGTACGTTGTGAAATTCCTTTTCCTGGTCGTTGCTCTATTGTGCTTACTGTATTAATATCACTGGGAATATTGAACTCGGCGTGTTTCTGCGTGACTTGCTTGCTTGACAATGCTCTTGGCTTTCTAATTGGATTAAGCCAATTTCCTTCCAGTTATGTTCTGAAAACTGATGAATTCTGGGTATTAGTTGAAAACTGATTCATTCTCTGGATTCGATTTCGTGTTGTGGCTTCTTTGACGTGCATCTGAAAAATTAGGTATTTCTGTTTTTGTTTTATTTTAATTCATTCATCAGAAATACTAGTTGTATGATGCAGATGTAGCATAATAAGAGAAAGAAAAATTTCAATGCTTGGTTGACGGAATTTTGAAGCTACGTATATTTGTGATAATATCTCGTATCAAACCAATTTGTAGGAGATTCTCGTGTTGGTGTTAAAGGGTCCGAGGAAGTGATGATAATTTTTTATGGCAAAGATTTTTTTGTTTGGTTTTGAGTGACATTGTGACACGTTTGTTTTTGTCAAATTTTTTTTCTTCTCACTTTATCCCTTCAGTTTGGCTTCAAATTATACTATGTTATAAATACTGTCCTAACTGCGCAATACAGCTTTTGACTAAATGTTTTTAATTTTTTTCTGTTCATGAAAGAATAATGCACAGGAAGACAAACATAGTAAATTTGTTTTATTGTTATTCATTGCAAGAAATATTTGATTGTGGGTTCGGCTCCCATGGTTGGCATGTCCAGTCTTGTCACAATGAGTTGCAAATTCCAATAGGATAACAGTTATGTTTGTGAAATAAATGACTAATTGCGAACATGTATTGTCTCTAATGCAGTTATGTAAATCTTTTATTTTTACATGAAAAATAAATTTCACCAAAAAAATTCTAACAAATTTTCACCAATGATGTTTTATTAAGGGTATGAAGTTTTGTCTTCATGAATGCTGTTTAAATCTAGTTTACACTTTATTTCATGTAAGCATGTTTGCATTTTTGTAAAGTGCTTGGTTTGTCTTCATTTTTAATGGGTTAATTTTTGTTTTTCTTTAGGCCAAGAAAGAATTTGCCATCAAATATGAAGAATATTTAGAGGTAAGTGTACATTTAGTAGTAGTGAAGTAACCTTTCCAAAATATAGACTTGTTCCTTTCTTGTTCAAAGACTACAACAAAATTTGATTCCAGGAGCAGCATCTTTGACTGCCAATGGGATGTTCCATTTGAAATCTGGGGAGGGATAATGAAAATTAAGGGGTGAAATAACTTCAAATTAATTTTCTTGAATAGAATTTGATCTGCAATTTAATTTAATAAGTTTGTATTAAAAAAAGATTTCATCTCATAAGTGATCACAGAATTAGCCCAATCTTTCAAACCCCTTCCAACACAAATCATCTCCTGAATATTACTCTTATAATCCACTTATTTCAAGCATTTATCACTTAAAAAAAAAAAATGGAATCCAAAAAATGTGAGCTAAAAGATTACACCTGCATTGTGGTTGGTTGCCAGCAAAAGAATCCCCCCCCCCCCCCCCGGTAACCCCTTGACATTGCCAACCTTTTGACTTTTGCAATTTCCCATGAATTTGTTTTCTTTTTTGATCTTAGAAACTGCCAGAAGAAGAACGTGAGAAGTTACTGAAAGAGGATAAATCGAAACAACCCAGACTTCAATCAGATAACAATGGCAATCTGCAAATAAAGGTAGGTGAAGCTGGGTAATATACTTCAGATGAGGTGCATTTATTCACCTCAGAATGGGGTGTGTTTATTCACTTTAGAATGGGGTGTGTTTATTCACCTTGGATGGGGGGTGCATTTATGCAGCGTGGATGGGTGACCCCCGTGTGCGAAGCACACTATGGGAGTCCTTGTGGTTACCCTGTCTGTATATATATATATGTGTGTGTGTGTGTGTGTCTGTTCCACTGATATCTCAAGAACGTATGTTGGTTGGTGTATAGATGCTCTTGGCTAATGCACAGATTTGATTAGGTTTTGGTTGAAATCTATACATATTAATTACCTGATTTGCATGATAATTAGCTAATTTTTAGCTGTTCCTTGACTGTTCTACTGATATCTAAAGAGCCATTCATTAGATGTTGATGAAACTTGGTACACAGATGCTCTGGACTAATGCACAGATGTGATTAGTTTTGGGTAAAAATCAATGCATATAATTAACCTAATTTGCATAATGCTTTTTCACTGATATCTCAGATACTAATCATCAAATTTCAATGAAACTTACATAGATACATATGACATGCAACGACAGATATGTAAAATATTAATTATCTAATTAGCATAATTAGCCAATTTTCAACTTTTACACTGATATCACTGTACTAATTATTCCATTTCAATGAATTTTGATGCTCCAGAACAATGCACAGACCCGCTCAATTTTTAGCCGTTTCCTGACTGTTCCACTGATATCTGAAACATTATTTATTAGATTTCGATGAAACCTGGTATATAGATGTGATTTGGGTAAAAATCCATGCATATAATTAACCTACTTTGCATAATGATTAGTCAATTTTTGGCTTTTCCACTATATCTCAGGTACTAATCATTACATTTCAATGAAACTTGCATAGATACATAGAACGATGCACCATCAAATATGTGAAATATTAATTACCTAATTTGCATAATTAATAATTTTTCAGCTTTTGCTATTTCAAGTAATTAGACTTGTGTTTTGGCCTGTGTGCGTCCATGCGTCCGTGATCACCTGTATCTCGAACATGCATGGACCGATTAAGTTCAAACTTCACTCATACATCACACATTATATGGAACATATGCCATTTTAAGGCCGAAAATGCATCAAAATCGCACATTTTCGGCATTCCGGACCCGGATCTCAGTTATGCATGGACGGATTTTGTTCAAATTTGGTACATACATTAAACAAAATAGGACCTTGATGCACATCATTTTTTTGGGATCTGGTTTGAAATGGCCGACTGACGGCCATTTTGTTTTAAAGAATTCAGTTCTGGATCCGTATCTGAGACATGCCTGGATTGATCGAGTTCAAACTTCATACACATAAGGTACATCATGTCACAAATATGTATGCATTTGTTTCATGATCTCATTAACGATAGCCAAATGGCGGCCGCTTTAAGGCCGAAAATGCATTGAAATCGCACGTTTTCACCATTCCGGACCTGGATCTCAGTTATGCATGGACGGATTTTGTTCAAATTTGGTACATACATTAAACATAATATGACCCTAATGCACGTCATTTTTTTTCCGGATGAAATTCGAAATGGCCGAATGGCATTAATTTTGTTTAAAGAATTCAGTTCTGGATCCGTATCCGAGACTTGTCTGGATTGATCAAGTTCAAACCTCACACATGGTACATCATGTCACAAATAGATATGTGCATTTGTTTCATGATCTGCTTAACAATAGCTGAATGATGGCCATTTTAGTTAATTTTTGGCTTTTACACTAATATCACAAGTACTAATTATCCCATTTCAATGAATCTTGGTTCATTGATGTTCTAGGGCAATGCACAGACCTGATTAGTTTTTGGTTAAAATCAGTGCATATTAATTACCTAATTTGCATAATTAGCCAATTTTCAGCTTTTACACTGATATCACATGTACTAATTATTCCATTTCAATGAAACTTGGTACATTAATACTCCAGACGCACTCAGTTTTTGGGTAAAATCAAATCATAATTTTTGGTTCTAATCACATTGCAATAAAACATAGAGAGGGTCTGTGACAGTACTTACATGTATCTTAACTCAATGATTCTTGGTACATATGTACTCTAACACAATGTTATGATCAAATTAGTTTTAGGTTTATATAAATCTATAATAATTACCTAATTTGCATAATAATTAACTTTTCGACTTTCCACTAATTTAGTTAATCATCATCATCACATTATAATGAAACATTGTACATGTGCATCCTGAAACAACAAACAGACCTAAATCTATGCATAATAACTGCTTAATTTGTATAATAATTCATTTAGTTCATTGAAGTAATCCACAGACATGATTAGTTTAATAAACTTGCATATTGATTATCTATTATTAGCCCATTTCAGATATTTAAATTCATTGCATAGGTGGTCTGGAACTACCGTAATTAGACTAAAAACCTTTTTTTTTTTTATGTTATGCATCTCAAATAGCAGAAAAAATTAGTTGCCAAGCTTCTTGTTTGAAAGCAAATCTTAAATATTTAATTAATTTTAATGTGTCTCCAATGTGTCCATGTGTCTTCTTTCTTTCTAAGCTTCCTTTGATATCTCTCGAGTTGGTAGCTATTTTTTTGCCAAATTTGTTGAAGGGGGACTAGTCACACTTACAAAATGAACCAATCTGTTCATCTGTTATTTGTTTTATTATTGAAGTACCGTAGTTAATGTAATATCAGCAAAATATTTTTGCCACTATGTGATTTAAGAATATAACTGTCTTTGCTTTTTGCTATTCTAATTTTTTTTTTTTTTTTTTTTTTTAATAAGTATCCGGACAGACCAAAAAAACCCATTTCTGCCATTTTTCTTTTCTGCAACGAAAGAAAAGAGAAATTTTTAAAAGACCATCCTGGTATGTCCATGAAAGAAGCAAATCAGACATTAATGCAGAAATACAGAGAATTACCAGAGAAAAAGCAGGTATGTTTTTAATACATAATTTTCCATTCACTGTGAGAATCACGCGTTATGCGTGAAATCAAACGTAAAAACAGGACAAAGGTCATAGCGGCGAAGTGGTGTCAAACATCGCATGGGATTTGACAAACATGAAAATATTTTGGGGGGCATTTCCATGCTTAATAATGTGCTGTACACATTTGATGATAGACAATTTCCATTAAGTGAGGGTATTCGAAAGCAATATTCCTCTGTCAAAGATCCGCCGTCGATGTGAGCTACGAAATATTGAAATTCGAGTTCAAAATCAAATCGTTTGATTTTTGCGACAGACGTTCGACGCGCGTCTTTCATGCATCTCGCGAGATCTTGCAATTGTACGGAAAATCACCTATTGAAACAGTGTACCCCAACATGACGGATTTTGTAGGATTATTGAGTCGAAATGTAAGTCAACTTGTTTACTGCTGGGGAGATTGTTCCTCAAGACAAAAACTAAAATTGTATGTAACTGTATATCGATAATTTCATATTTCATATTTTGTTTGACACATTCTATAACTATAGTGAGACTTTTCCCAAAGTCGCTATATCAATGTATGGTTTTCTTTTGCGCCAGTAATGGCCAGTAAATTAGCACAAACTGATTGGCACATCTTGTCAGCTTAGAAGGGGCACACATGCATGTGTAGAAGATTCAAACCTGATATTGCATTTTCTTAGAGCTAGTTGATTCAAGTGTTGACTTGTCTAGACCGTCACACTTTTGTGTGCATAGTATACTTTGTACTGTCATAGCAGACATATAATAAAGTTTAGCATGTATATTCTGATGTACTGTATCACCAGTGGTATTTCAAACAAAACAACGCAACTCGGAGTCGTATGTACTATGGTTGTGTGTTACTGTAAAATACTTTATTATCGCTGAAAAGACTTTTTGAGCGTTTTTTATGGAATTTATTTTCACTGATTTTTGACAAGTTGAATAATACATGTAATATAGAGAAAACAGTTATATTCGCTGAATCCTCCTTCAGTCAAAATAGCGAAAGTAACTTTTTGTATCTTCCTAACCCACTGGCAATTATTAATGTTAACCAGCGTAGTGGTAATCTACAAATTAATCATGTTTTTTGTTTTGTCATCAGGAGAAGTACAAGAAGAAGGAAGCAGACATGAAATCTCAATATGAAAAGCAAATGAATGAATTTGTGTAAGTTAATTTGATGTACATTAATGTTAAACAATTTATTTTTTCACTGGCATTTAATATCACTATTTTGAAGTTTTTAGCAATTCTCCTGGGTTTTGCAGTTCACAAACCCCACTGAGAAACATACCGTTAAAATCCTAATATAAGCCGCGGTTTATATTACAATGTATCAAATACAAAATTTGGATCAACAGCTCAAGTTCGGGGTGCGGTTTCTATTACATACATATTGCAATCACTAAATGGGCGTGGTCATTTTTTCCCCACATCACTTGCACAAAACAAACAATACACCGTACAATCTTTTGAATATAAGCGTAACCCCAATTTAGATGTCAGGGAAGAGCGATAAGCGTCACGTCACACAAAAACTGTTCACATGAAAAAAAAATACTCAGTATATTTAATGTAATATGCATTTATTTTTGTAATTTTCTTCGTAACAGAAAGTATATTCTGACAGGAGCTTCAAATAAAAACAAACATTAATGCATTGCTCAGAAGAAAATGATCATGGTATGGCACTAAAAAAGTACGGTACCAACGGTAACTCAATCCGGCCATGCTTCGGCTCACAAGTGAATAACTTACTTGTTTTCGAAGTGTTGAAATTGTTGATTATTACTCAGTAGTGATTATAATAACGCACGAAAAATAAATACATTGAATTGTTATCAAATGCAAGTAAAATTCAACTTAGTTTCACCGTAAGCGAATTATTTTGGTCACATGTAAACGATCGATGTGCTACAACATCCGCCATGTAGTTTGAATGCACACAACACGTTGCTTGACTGGATACGTCAGGTTGCTAATTAACCAATCAAAATGCTGGATGGTGCCCATGTGTTCAAATTACCTTAGTCATTTAAATATGTTAATGACAGATCAATCAAGAAATTAGTTGTTTTCGGAAGATAAACTGAGCATTGAAAAAGAATTTATCAGTTTTTCTGGTGATAACAGCTCATTGTCGAAAACTTGCGACACACAGACATATTCATATGGAGTATTGACAAAAGTTGTCGCAAGAACAAAAGCAGTTTCACTGCGTGTTTGACATCCTAACACTACTGAACAATAAAGAGGTGTGAATATTTTTAGGCACGTTGTCAAAACAAATGAATAGGATTAGGAACAATGTACCAGCTGGTTGAAACAAAGTCAGTCACAGTCTTGTTGAATTGGGGGTGTGGTTAGTAATAGGTACTTTTCATGTTTTCAATTTTTGTTGAGAACTCTTTAACACTGAAGCTGAAATTGGGGGTGCGGTTACTATTTGGTATGCGGTTTATAAAAGGATTTTAACGGTAATTGTAATAATGTAATTTCATATTCAGTTCTCATTTGTACATTCTTCAACTCACTGCTGCAAAAGTACACATTTTTAGGTGGTTAAATATTTTGTTCAATTTTCATTTTTTCATCACTTCAATTAAAAAAAAATACTTCCTGCATTGGGTTAAAAATCAATTTCCCCTGGAAATTAATAAGTTCCTTGTATCAATGAGTATTTTTAAAAACACATTTGCAAATGAGAGAAGCAAGTCTTTGATATTTTAGTGACGTAGCATACAGTAAATGACACATGTGCATTTACTGGAGGTGCATCTAATAGAGCAAATAAATCCCAAGTCTCTGTTGAACGTTATAATTTCACCCCTGTGCATACATATGTCTTGAGATACATATGTAAGTGCATTTTTTGTGATCTTATTAAAGATGGCCGAATAGCAGCCATTTTAGTGCTGATTATGGCTGACTGGCTATACTGATCACATTCATGCTTGCGTTTGCGTTCTTTGGATACATGTACACTTGATTTTTTTTGTCTTGCTATCCAATTCAAGATAGTGAGTGATGTGGCAACCATTTTAGTGCTAGAAAATTCCTTTCCAGAACTGGGCATTGTGCACGAACAGATTTCTTCAAACACAGTGCATATTAGGGCACTTATCATTTTGTTTATCAGGTTTGATTCAAAATGGCTGACTGGTAGCCATTTTATTTCAGATATTGTTGTTCTAGAGAGATTTCTGAGATGAATCATGTTCATGCATCACATCACACATATGCACATGTATTCTTGATTTTCTTGATCCAATTGATGATGGCTGAGTAAATCCAGCATCCATTTTAAAGCTAAAAATGTGTTTAAATCGATAACCGTTTTCAGTTTTGTTTACTTTTGCAAGCTGGTCGAACTGATTAGTTTGAAAACTGCATTTTAATTAAGTGATTTGCATATTTGTTCACCAGGAAAGAACACCCTGAGTATCTAAAGGAAACACAAAAGAGAAGGGTCGGAATTAGAAGGAATCAAGTCTTGCCTAAAACACCTGAAGAACTGTGGATAGAAAGTAAAACAGAAGAATATGTTCAGAAAAACAAAGTAAGCTACTTCTTTGTGAAAAATTAAATTTCTTTCTTTTTACATGTGTGGTACTTGAAATTGGTGTATTGTTGCATATTCATTCCTATTTGGAAATGTTTTCTATAGTACTGACATATACACATAAAAATAATGTGGCCAAAAGTCTGCTGGTACGTGACAATGTTTTGAATCAAAGTAGATAATCAGTCAATAGGTGATTTTACGTTCAACTGCGAGATCCCGCTAGATGCATGAAAGACGCGCGTCGAACATCTGCCGCAAGAATCAAATGATTTGATTTTGAACTCAAATTTCTTTATTTCGTAGCTCACATCGACCGGCCGATCTTCGTCAGAGGAATATTGCTTTCGAACACCCTCACTTAATCAAAATTGTTTATCATCAAATATGTACAGCACATTATTAAGCATGGAATCCCACGCGATGTTTGACACCATAACGCGTTATTCTCGTAGTGAACGAAAAATGGTCTATTGTGATCTTACAACACCAGTTATAGATTTTACATTTTTATAATTACATTTGATTAGGTGACTGTAGGGAAAGCAAATGAAGCCTTGAAAGACCAATGGGCAAGGCTTGATAAAGCTTCTAAATTACCATGGCAGAAGGAAGCTGCCAAACAAAAGAAGAACATTGAGGTAAGTTTTATTGCCTTACTTGTATTATTTGAATATATATTCGCAGGAGTAGTCATATTGTTTCAAATGTAACCGTAAACTTATGGTCAACACTTAGTATGTCATTTTCTTTATAGAGACTTGAGGAAATAGACAAGAAGATACTGGCTGAAGAACCCAAGAAACCCCCACCGTAAGTAGTAATCAGTAAAAACAAAGTAAAATGATGGGTAAACTTTGGGGAAGTAACATAAATGTCATTACAAAGCATTATTTTATAAGTGTGATGATAATTGTTTTCAAATTTATTACCCTTAAAGGGGAGGGGTCATCACCTGTGCACATGTGGGAATTAAGTCCCAAGCAACTATTATGCATGTTAAAGGCTCATAGTTAGGCGCTTGTTTGCAAACAATGATACGCTAGAGCTATTTGTCGCATGCACAGGTGACGATTCTCTCGCTTTAATTATATTTTAATCAAACAAATACATGTAGTTGATTTTTGTGCAAGCTCATTAAAATTATCTGAGCAGCTTTTCCAGTATTTTAAGTCATATTACCTTATGTAGTATATCCAGAAATCTGAATTATATAAGCTACATAAAAGTCATTATTCTTCTGTTACTTCACACAAACCTGTGATATTGTTTTGTTTTTGTAGCAACGGATATGCTTTGTATACAAGAGAAATGTTACAGAGTGAGGAATTAAGGCATCTGGAAAACAAATCTAGGATACAAGAAATTGCAAGAAGATGGAAAATGATGCCTGACCAAGAAAAAAAGAAATACAAACTGAAGAGAGATAAATTGTTTAAAAAATTTGAAGAACTACGTGATAAATTTGAAAAGGTTTGTATTTTTTATTGAAAAAATTGTATTTAAAAAACAGGCTGCAATTAGTCTTTTTTTGGACAGCTGTACAAAGCATTCTGGGTAAACAGGATAATGTATGTCAGTATTCACACATGGCAGAATTTTTGTCTTGTATTTGCAAAAAATCAAATTTTGTAACTAAATTGATTTGACATTTTTTTTTGACTATAATTTAGTCAACGCACAGTATGTCATTTTATACTATGTTAATGGCAGTAATGGAAATGGTAAACTTGTATTAGCGTCAGTTATTACCTTTCTGAAAGCTATATGCAGTTATCAATATTTGTATCGCTATACATGTTATTACTTGTTATTATAATTCTAAAAGATTTAACCTCTCTCTGCTAACTGTTTTTAGAGTCTTACGCAAGAAGAGTTAAAAAGATATAAGGAATTGTCCGAACTAAAGAAGGGCCGAAGAAAAGTTGCTGTGAAAGCTAAGGTAATCTTATTTTACTCGCAAATAAATGATTCAATCATCGGGTCAGATGATGGTAATGGGTTCTTGTTCTCTTGATACAAGAAGTGCAGTGATTCATCAAAGTTTTTTTTTTTTTTAAATATTTTTGGTGCCAGGCGACAGTTCCGGACATTGAATGTCATTGTTGTCTCTTCAGACTTTTTTTTTTGTATGTGTAAATTGCAAGTGCTAGTGCTGACACATAGTGCATTTTTGCCACAGAAGTCGTATCTATGTTTGGGACTACATAACAGGGCTGTGCGGCCATCTTCCTATCAAATGGTAATTTAATGCGCTATCCTGGCGTCAACCAGGCTCGGTCGAACACAAGCATCTGCGAACCTTAGCCAAGGTTCCCCCAAAGTCGCATTTGTTAGTGAATGAATCTCGGCCAGTGGAATTGGCCTTTTCATTGAGACTGTGGCACACTCACCAAGGGTAGGGGTTGACCCTTTTGATATTAAGGTAGGATTTAAACTTGGGTCTACCGATCATGAGTCTGATGCGACAACCACTATGCTACCAGTGACCGGTTGATTCATCAAAGTTTGTTTGTGTTACTATTAGGTACAAGAATCTGCAAGTGAAAGTGATTCAGAATCTGCAAGTGAATCTGATAATGATGCAGATTCTGAAAGTGAATCTGGGAGTGAATCTGAAGAGGAGGGGTCTTCAAGTGCCAGTAGTGGTAGTGAAAGTGAGGCATCTGAAGCATCAGCGGCAGTTAAGCCTAAAGCTGCAGTGGTACAGAAAGCAACACCTGTAGCGAATCAAGAAGAGAGTGAATCTGATAGTGATTCAGCATCTAGTGAATCTGGAAGTGAAGAATCCTCGTCAGAAGAATCCGAAGAAGAGGAAGAACCACAACCAAAAACGACTGCCAGATCTAAACCTCAAGCAAAACCACAGACTGCACCAAGAAAACGACAAGGCAAACAAGCCGAATCAAGTGAATCGGAAACTTCAGGCGAGGGTGAGAGTGACAGTGGGACTGAGAGTGAATCCGGTTCTGCATCAGATTCGTCATCAGAAGAAGAATAACATTATATAAGGTATTCAGTTTCTGTAGCCACATTTGTTTAATTATTTTGGTTTTCTGGCTCAATTACAAAGTTATCCAGATGGATTTACTTAAATTTATAAAACCTGTGTCCAATCAGGCTGTGCTTTGCTCATATTTTTTTGTGCTTGCTTCAACTTTTCAGATTATTTGGCGATGCACTTTTTAAGTATTTTCAAATCTTGTATTTATTCAATTTTTATCTGACAGTTGGGGAAATTGTATTGGACATCACAATTAGATATTGAAATCAGTACTCGGGTTCTCAAGCCATGATTGATGGATTTCTAGCCAATACCATTTTATGAAAATCAGGTTCCCATGGTTACTATGTATTCTACGTTGGTTTAATATCATGATTATATCTTTCCAAAGCTGCTAATAACTGCTTTCGTAAGTTTCTGAATGCTAAAAACTACTTGTATATGTTTGTTTAGCTTTCTGAATACTGTTAGTAACTGTTTTCATAGCTTTTCAAATGCTAATAACTGCTTTCATAAGTTTCCAAATGCTAAAAACTACTTGCATTTTTAGCTTTCTGAATGCTATTAATTTCTTCATGAAGATTTAGTATGCACTATGAAATACTGCAGTTAGAGAATTTTTCCCAAATATTCAGATGTTTATAACTTGTGTGTGTTTCTTCAAAAGAAAGTGTTTATCTTTAATATCACTACTTTTAAAGTAATGTTGAATGATTAGTAAATACTGATAACTTTTATAAAATTTGAAATGTTGTGAATTTTAAAAATCGTCCTCAATATGTTGTCAATCAACATTTACAGCACTAATGTCATGAAAACTAAAAGGATTTGTTTACCCTGCTGCTATCATTCTGTAAAGTGAATGTCACTGCTCCAGTGTGAGGGTTAAATAATGCAATCACTCAGAGCATATGTATCACAAGATAAGAAAGAGCGCCACCACAGGGCAGGGAAAAAAATCCTTTGATAAGTATTTAAGCTCAGTGACCTTGTATGTTCAAGATAGCTGCAGTGTCAGTCAAAATCACACGATCATGCTTTTCAAACAACTGAAATAAATAGTTTTTTTTCAGTGAAAATAGGTACTATAATACTGGACTATGCAATATTGCGATTTGTGTATTTTTGTTGCAATGGGCAGCCAGTTTTTGTATATAGGTACCCCATAGATCAGCTTGTTTATGAATAGACTATCACAGTGCATTGTGGGACAGTTAATGCACAATTCTTGTGCAGAACAATTAATTGAACACAAACTGTCCCGCAATACTTTACATAAATCTGTTTATACAATTGTATTTTCAAATGCTTTTCAAACTCTGTTTGGAATGTTTTGGCCAGTGAAAAACTAAGGCACTGTGAAGTTCTTGAAAAATTTCACATTTCTGTATGACTGAAAATTTGATTTTCTTGATTTTACCCAATTTACAAAATGAAATCTGGCACTTACTTAGGGGTGCTTCCATTTTGCGACAGTTGCTGCACCACTTGTGTCTTGAAGACTCCAGGAAGGTGGTCACTGCTACATATTTTAATTTTTCTCAGCTTAAGAAAATGTCTTGCAAAATGAAAGTGGATATAGTATTTTACTCCAGTGTTCTATAAATCTTTAATCATTCAGTTCAAATAAATTGTGAAATTAAACCAATATGTAAATTTACTTCTACTAGTCAATAAAGGTGACCATATTACCTCTTG